GCAGTCCCACAACAGGCAGCATTGCGGCCATTTCCTTCAACAGGAAAGTATTGCTTTAGGGCATGTCCACACAAACAGGAAGTATTGCTAGCATCCCACAACAGGCAGGCATTGGTGCCATTCCTCAACAGGGAAGTATTGCTAGCATTCCACAAACAGGAAGCATTGCCAGCATCCCTCAGAAGGGAAGTATTTCTGCCATCCCGCAGCAGGGAAGCATGATACAGCAAGCGCGCATGGAGCAGCAGGCAAGCGTCGCACAAATACAGCCGCAGCAGACGGAAGTTTTAACGGCCGCTGCCGCCATCGCCGCCGCACGAAAAAAAAAACTGGAGCGGCGGACAAGTGGCGCCACCACTACGACTCTGGTCGTTCAACTTCTGCAGCCGGCAGCGGACAGCCACAGTACCTCCTCTATCAACTCTCCTCTTCCTCCCCTCTGTCTTCCTCTCTTTCTCATTCTCCCTTCTCCCCCATCTTTCATGCGTTAGGCTCCACTATCCATTTGCTGTGCGATCATATGCAATATGGACCGCAGCGATGGCTCAATGGTAGAGTTTACTCGCCTCAACATGTTGCGAAAGTCAGGGGTTCACTTCCGGTCGGTCATACCAAAAGACTTGAAAAATGGTACACACGGCTTCTCTGCTTAGCATTCAGCAAATAGAGATAGAGCGTGGCAAGTTAACTCGCAGTGCTACCAGTGGACTAACCCCCTACTGTAGCATTTACTGTGAAAGCAGCTGCGGGGCCTCAGGGTTACGGAAACGGAGATAGGCACCGCCCTATGCGCCTATGTTTCATATAGGCGCGGGAAGGATTTAACTTGTAACTGTGTAGTAAATATTGTACGTGTGTTGTTGTCCTCATCACCCCCCCCCCCATCTACACGACGATGTGTCACAGGTCACGTTGATCCGCTCCGGGCCGGCGACGACTGACACGGGCGGAGCATTCGCCGTGCCGACACCGAAAAACAAGCAGACGTCTTTCTCGAGGACACGGCACATGCAGAAGATCTCGCCGGCGCCCCCTACGAAGCCTGCTGCTCCCAGCGTCATCTCACCTCCCCAGGTGGCGCCGGCGGCAGCGGCAGCGAGCCCAGCGAGTGAGCTCCTCTCGTTGTTGTCGTCAGGTACGTGGCGCCACCTGTTGGCACGAGAAGACAAAGATGTTAAATTTTGAATGTAAAAGGGATCATTTTGAATCTTAAATTATTAATTTAATCTTAAAATTTATCTGGAAAATGTTATATTTACATTAATTCTTCAACTGGAAAATTTAATCGAAAAAAAGTAATGAATATCCCTTCATGTTGCAGATAAATTCTCGGGAAGTCGAAGCGGAGTAGGAGGACACGCCATCGCTCCCGCGCCTGGCCTCCACGGGGCGCCAATGGTGCACTTTGATTTGCGGCCGGCGCAGAGTGAGGTGATTTTGACGACGACTAACATTTATCGTTGCGCCGTGAGTTTCATCACAGCGCTCTGCTTACTGCTACTGCTGCACCTATTCCATAACACTGGCCACATGTGTAAATACATACATACATATATACATGCATACATATACATACATACATACATACATACATACATATATACATACATATATAGATACATGGGAATATATATATATATATAATTATATATGTATGTTTTGTATATATATATATCTGTGTGTGTGGGTGTATTTTTGCATACGTCGTTGTGTCGTTGCATACGTCGTTGTGTCGTTGCAGCCGTCTACGTTTCGCAGTCCGCTGCTACTGAATGCCTGCGGCTCACAGACGGATGGCCTCAGCATTCTGCCATCCATCGACCAGAAAGGTACGTGCGTGCTTCTGTTTCCGCCCCTAACATGCAGTCTGCGAAATTAACCACTGGCCCGGTATCCGAGGCCAGTAAATTTTCTGTGAGGCCAATGAAACTGGCAAATGAACAAGCCCGATGGGCCAGTTGCGAAAAGAATGGAGAATGTTATATTATTTGATAGTTTCAGCTCTTTATGTGAGATCAGTCTGAGGAATTTACTAAAAATTCCCGATATTTTGTATGAAATTACAAGTATTAGCGATAGGGCATCATATTCCCGCCATACTAAGTAGGGGAAGTACACTAGTCAACACCTGCTGTTTGCCGCGCTAGAAGTCGCAACAACTTCGTGTTTCCGGTCCGGTTCGTGTACTCTTTTTCATAATTATGATGATCATTTGATTTTGGGCCTGTTAAAACCTAGTGTGGCCAGTGGAATTATACATTACAAAGCCGGCTGGCAATGAGGGTGGAAGTTTTTCGTGAGACAACATGCGCCGCCTGCTTGCCCATTCGGTTCATCGGTAAAATTAGTTTGTCAACTCCAGTGCGATAGCGTTTGTATGTTGGTGATGTTGTGAATTTGCGTGTTTGGTGTTGCGTGCCTCGTGCGTGTTTGTGAGTGTGTTCATTCCTTTGCATGCGTACATGCGTTGCGTGCCGTGTTCGCGCGTGGTGCGTGCCTGCGTTTCGGGTGCGTGAGCGTGTTCATTCCTGCTGTGCGTGCGTGCGTGCTGCGTGCATGTTGAATGTTTGCGCGTGCGTTGTTCTGTATGCTGTGCGTGCTGGCCTGCGTTGTGACGGCCCTGCGGTGTGGTGTTTGTGACGTGTTGTTCATTCCTGGCGTTGCGTACCATGCGTGCGTTGTGTGTGTTGTGCGTGCGTGCGTTGCAGTGTTCCGCGCCGTGCGTGTTGCGTGGCGTCAGCGTGCCTTGCCGTGTGCGTGGTTTGTGAAGCGTGTTCATTTCCTGCGTGCGTTACCATTGCGGTGCGTGCGTTGTTTGGTGCCGTGCGTTGTTTGTGCCTTCGTTGCGTGGCATGCGGAGCTGCGCGTTCCTTGCGGCCACTTGTGTTCGTGCGTGCAGTGGTTGCGTTGCGTGTGCTTCGCTGCCTGGCGTGCGTCGTACATGCGGGCTGGTGTGCCTGCGTGTGTTCCGTGCGTGGTGTTTCGTGCCTCGCGTTCGCTGCCTGGTGCTGCGTGTGTTCTTTGCGCTGCATTTTCATGCCTGCAGTTGCAATGCATGCGGTGCGCGTTCCTGCGTGTGTTCGGCGTGCATTTTTCACGGCTGCGTGCGTACATGCGGGGCTGGCGTGCCTGGCCGGTTCGTGCGTGCGTGCGCATTTGCGTGCGGTGCTGCGGGGCTGGCACTGCCTGCTTGTGTTCGTCGTGATTTCACGCCTGCGGGTTACTGCGGGCTTGGCGTGCCTGCGTGTGTTCGTTGCGTGCGTTTGCTGCGTGCGCGTGTGCGTGCG